GTTGAATATCTGTGTAAAACTAAGATAACTTATCTTAGGGAGTGTGGAAATCAGTTTATACTCTCTATGAGAGTTACATACACACTCTAAACAAATTCTTGTAAAACTAAGGTTGAAAACCTTAGTGAGTGTAGAAACCAGTTTATCCTCTCTGCGAGAGTCATATACACACTCAAAACATCTATCTTCTGTAAAGCCTGAAGAGGCTAGCAAAAGAATACTTGTGGAACCAGAAGTGGTTTAAGAATACTAGCATCAACAAGTGAAGTTGACGAACCAGGAGTGGTTAAGAATACTTGGGCAACCAGAAGTGGTTTAAGAATACTAGCGTCAGCAAGTGAGGTTGACGAACTAGAAGTTGTTGAGAATACTTGTAATCCATTGTGATTAGTGGAACCCTTCAATTGAAGGAGATTGGACGTAGCTCAGAATGAGTGAACCAGTATAAAAAATCTTTGCACTATTATTTAACTTAGAAACGCAGTTTCACTCATACTAACTCATCACTTTGAAAAACTTCGTCTTCTACTGTCTATCTTCTAAATAATATTTAGACGAACTCATATTTGTTTGACTGAGAAAATCATTTTCGAATAGACGATAGAACTTCGGACGCATAGTTCCTTTTAATCAACATTGCACTTTCCTTACGCACCTGAAACATTATTTTCTAACGGAAAGTAACACCTTTGCGAAAACGTTTTTAAAATCCTTCATACACACATTCAACCCTCATTCTGTATGTTTTTCACTAAACTTCATAATCAATAGACCTTACTGAATCTACCATCAAGTCGCCTTAAGTAGGGCGAGATGAGTTATGCCACTAATGAAAGTTGGGTTATAAAATGATAGGTTGATGTGTTGACAATCCAAAGCCCACAAAAAAAATTGAAAATGAAAGCATTTAAAAGAATTAATTTATTTATTTCTAACACATTACTCATTTTAATTAATTAAGAAACATAAAATTTGTAGTTTTTAATCATATAAAACAAATTTATTTATATATTAATTAAATATTAGTAGGTTAGATGGGTCAATCTAGTAAGCTAATTAATCGTGCCTACCTTCAATAAGCCAAATTGGCAAGTAAAACGGATTGGTGAGGCATGTGAGTGAAATATGTATTGTTACCCCTAATTTAGGTAATTAAATTTACCATTACAGAATTTAGTTTTTAAAACGTGTTAAAATTTAGATATTTTTAAAATAAAATTCTATGAAATGTGATATTATAACACTTTTAGAAATTAAATTTTCAAAATATTTTTTTTAGTTACAGAAAATAATAAAGATATCAAATTAATTAATTAAGAATATGTTTAATTAATTCTGATTACTGATTTCTAAAATATTTATTAGATGCTTAAACACATTCCATAACTTAATTCTCATTAGAGAATTTAGTTTTTAAAACGTGTTAAAATTTAGATATTTTTAAAATAACATTCTATGAAATGTGATATTATAACACTTTTAGAAATTAAATTTTCAAAATATTTTTTAGTTACAGAAAATATGAAAGATATCAAATTAATTAACTAAGAATATGTTTAATTAATTCTGATTACTGATTTCTAAAATATTTATTAGATGCTTAAACACATTCCATAACTTAATTCTCAAAAACGAGTATCTAAAAATACAGAAAAATATATGTGGAAAAAAAGGGTGTAAAAAGCAATTTGTGAGACCCCAAACCCTTCCCCCCTCCCTCTCTCATTCTTTTTCCTTTTATTTCTCATTCTCTCTCTTTTTCCCCATTTTCCTTCTCCCAAACTTCTAGCCGTGGAGGAAAAATGAACTTGTAGAAACCCACAGCCATAACCGTGGATTCACAGCTATAGCCGTGGGAGGAAAAAATGTGATGGTAGAAACTTGCAGCCATGACTGTGGTTTTGCAGCCATGACTTTGGGGAAAAAATGGAGTGACAGAGACTTCCAGCCATGGCTGTGGATTTGCATCCATAGTTGTGGAAAAAAATTGGAGTGGCAGAAACTTGCAGCCATGGCCGTGAATTTGCAGCCATGGTCGTGGAAAGGAAACTGAGCTGGTAGAAATCTAGAGCTAAAGCGCTGATTTGATCGCTGCAGCGGTGAGTGTAGATGACAGAATTTGGTCTCTAGGTCTTCATTAAAGTTGTAGCCTTGGATGTTATCTTTCCAATGGCACTGGAATCACCCAAAAATGAGGTCTAGAGCTTCAGTTATGACCTTTTTAATGAGCAAAGGTCAAACTGTCATCATTTAGGAGAATGGTTGTGGTTTTTACAATTTTTAACAAGGTAGATGATGAAATTAGGACTGGGTGTCTTCATGAGAGTTGTAAAAAATCTTCTTATATTTCATACGAGTTAAGGATGAGAATGATTTGAGTAGTAGAACTCCCTATCGGTTGTTTTAGGTGAAGGTTGTCAGTGTAGAAATGTGTGATTTTGATAAATTGCATGTGATACATTTTGTATGATGGGTGAAATTGGTGAACATGAATAGAATGCTTGTGTCTATTACATGTGTGTGATAGGAAATGATAATAAGCATTGGAATTCTCTCCTTGTGTACTTGAAATTGGTGATGACCATTGATATGCTTTATATGACTGATATGCTATGTTGAATTTATTGTGGAGCATTGATATGTTATTATGGTATGAATTATTAAGCATTGGTATGTTGTTCTTGGTTGATATATTAAGCATTGATATGTTAATTATTGTATGAATTGTTAAGCGTTGGTATGCTGTTCTTGGTTGATATATTAAGCATTGATATGCTAATTATTTATGAATTATTAAGCATTGGTATGTTGTTCTTGGTTGATATATTAAGCATTGATATGCTAATTATTGTATAAATTATTAAGCATTGGTATGCTGTTCTTGGTTGATATATTAAGCATTGATATGCTAATTATTGTATGAATTATTTAGCATTGGTATGTTGTTCTTGGTTGATATATTAAGCATTAATATGCTATCATTGTATAAATTGTTAAGCATTGATATGTTGTTATTGGTTGAGATGTTAAGCATTGTTATGTTGTTATTGGTTGAGATGTTAAGCATTGGCATGTTGTACATGATTGATGTTGTTGATCTCTATATGCATTGACTGGATGTAATGTATATAGTAGATGTTTAATAAGGTGTGGATGCTAAGAATGCAGTGCGACATTATAGCATGATGGCTAACTTAGGATTTGAGGAGAGAAAACTATTTTGAAAATTGAAGATCCCGCATAGGGTATCTTGGAGTGGTGCTCAAGTAGGCCACTGTTTGGAAAACCCTCCTTGAGTAGGTATATCTCTTGGATTAGGTTTTGAGGTGTGTTGAGTCTCCTCCAAATCCTTAGTTAGTAGTTGAGTAAGGTAGGAGGTCGAGGGCTACAACCCTTAACCAAGTACCTGGAAAGGTTGCGTGGTTCCTTGCGGATAGTCGGTGGGCGAACTCCACAAGTGACTTGATAATGCATGTCAAGGTCATGGTAAGCATGTACCCAGTTGTGTTATACCTGACGGTGGAACCGGACTTTCCTAGTGTAAGTGATGAGACCCGAGAAACTAGAGGAGGGATTGGTATCCCATTTTGTTATGATCGAGCCGACGCTTCGGGCGTGAAAACGATTGGGTTGGTTCGGTAGGGTGGAAATCACTTAGACTGCTCATGTGGTTAGGAGATCTCCTAGTTGTATGTGCGTGACGACGCATTAGTTGATGTTGCATGTGTTGTTGCATTCAAGCTGCATATAATGTTATATGAATGAGTTGATAGTTGAATTATTGTGTTAAAAAACTATGTCATTGTGCTGTGATGATGAGTTGTTGATCACTAGAACTAGAGGAGAAATTTTCTAAGTTATTCATCCCATTGTGCGTATTGAGATAGTTGTGGTGCTTTGAGAGCCCAATTTGTTGAAAAACCCTCCTTGGGAAGTTGTCCCTTGGAGTGAATGATGTGTTGTTCTCCTCTAGGACTTAGTCGATCCCGTGTATGGGCAAGGTCGAGGCACATGTGTATAAAGCGACCACGGTATAAGGGTCAGGCCGAGCTATACCGATTACAAGCGACCAATTTGAATAAAGTATGATGTGTTTAAAATGTTGTTGCTATTATGATGAGGTGTCTAATAGTTTGCGTTGAGGTGTTCATACTATGTTGATCAGTGTTGATGTACTGAATTAAGTTGAAATGATATTAAGATGTGTAGTATGCGTGTTGTTTGTCCTCTGTGATGGACGTGAAGATGATTATATAGTTGATTGTGTTGCATATTTAATTATTATGAGTTGTTTATTGTCTCTAGCTTACCCTTGCATGTTTCCATGTTGGTTGAACTGCGATGATCATACGATGTATGGGAACAGGCAGGGATATGCTGAGAGATAGCTGCTAGAGACCACAGGAGGTGCCTAGAGTGGATGTTTTCTTTTGTAGGCTACCTTATAGTAGCATATTTTGTTATATATAGCTAGGTGTTGTTGGTTACTTGCTTGACAACTTGTGTTGTAAATTTATTTATTATACTATTTTAGTATATATTCCAGTGGTGCGTAGTATTGTTTCGTAGTATAACGACCATAACAGGTCGTTACACAATTACCCTCCAAGATTCAACCTAGAACATGCATATCGCCATTATATTGTGATTCTAACATTTTCCGCGTGGAGTCGGCATTTCAGGAGTTTGATTATAGACTTGTAGTCACATGGTCGAGATTTGTTTGCTTAGAAACCTTATAATGCTTGTAAATTGTAATTAGATGATCACGAACACATCTTTGTCCCAAATGTTACTAGGTTATAAAATATGAAAATAACTTTAAACTACATTTCAAAACGGCGTTAGATTTTACGATTTAACAAAATGTAAAATAACTTATTTGACATAAAATTTATGACAGATTACAATTTGTATTATCGTAAATCACCTTTATTTTGTTAATATGTATGTTTGACGGTTTGTTTAAAACTGGAGTTGGAAAAAGCTTCCCATGAGGGTGGAAGGAAGAAGGTCTCGAGTATATTAGGAAACGTCTTTCACTGCACCTTATATATTACACTCATGAAGAAGCACCCCAAAAGGGTGCAAGTAGGGACGATGCTGAATACAAGCTTCTTAACTAAACAAACCAAATTGCATGAATGTCAAAGCCACAGTATTTTTTCCTCACAAAGTAATGGGATAAACGAGGATCAACAAGTTCATCATCAAACAGAAACACACGACAGGTGAACAGCATTGCAAGGTAAAATAGTGCCCTCATTTTAGGAGAGTTTTCACAATTGATTTGACATTGAGTTTCTTGAGGTCAGTATAAGACTGTCCACAGCCAACAAACATGACAGGAGCTCCAGATATGTAAACCATTGAAAGTGCAGCTCCCACCTGACAAGGGAATCATCGGGAAACCAATAATTATTCATGATCAAACAGGATCCATATCATATGTTAAGCCCAAAATTCATACTTGCAATTTTAGAATTCATGTACCTTGTCATCAATGGTGTCGAACTTTGTGAGCAAGATACCATCAATCAATCTTGGATTAGCTGATGCTGAGAGGTCAGCTAATTTCTGGGGTGAACAGTTTGGGGTTAAATGTAGGAAATAAAAATAGGAAAAAGACTATTAGCAGGGATATTAAGCAGAATATAAATCAAACCTGATTGAACTTTGAAAGCTGATCAACTGCGTCATTACCAACAAGTGCTTCTCCAACAAATAAGACCAGATCTGGATTGTTCAGGTAGATGAGCTTTGACAGTGCTCTCATCAGTGGTTCATTATCCTGAGTAAACCAGCAGCCACATATCAGATGTACATAAAAGCATTCAAATAAACACCATCTAATATTATTATGTATACAGAGCCACAATGATTCAATCAGTTCAGTTCGAGAATGTTCGTTGTTGAACAATAACAGAAAAAACAAAAATAGAGGGTGTCAATGGTTAGAGTAACCTGCCATTTGTACGGTAGCAAACGTCACATATATAACCCAAACATCTGATAAAATAATCTAGCTCTTGAGAAGAATAATAACTACATTAATACCTGCATACGACCAGCTGTATCAACAAGAACCACATCTGAACCATTGCGTGAAGCTTCCTGAATTGCTTCTTTTGCCACAATGGCCGGATCTTTCTCATAGCCCTTCTCAAATATAGGGATCTGAAACAGAGAACTTATAAGACAAAATGCTTCTAGTAAAAAGTTTTAACATGATCTAGGAAAATAAACACAGGTTAAAGAACACCAGTAATTTAAGCAGTAAATTCAATATAAACCTGAAGTCTACGAGCATGAGTCCGCAGCTGCTCAACAGCCCCTGATCGAAATGTGTCACAAGCTGCCATCATAACACTGACATTGTGCTGCAGAAGCCAGTAAGCAACCTACGAGGCAACACATAAAATAAGCCAATCTTTTCAAGTTAAAAGGCACACTAAATATGGAATCCTAACTATATTGGATAACTATATGATCTACTCCACCTTAGCTAGATTAGTAGATTTTCCAACACCATTAACACCAACAAATACAACAACATATGGTTTCCTTTGCTCCTTGGCAGCATGCACATCCCTTAGTATATCAATTGAACGTCTAGGAGTTAAAATTCGAACAAGTGCTTCTTCCATTGCCGCCTACATTAATATTTTAAAGTTATACTGTTAGTACAAATGTTATACAAGTGCATTCATAAATGTAAAGGCAGCACCAAATGTAGATACGAAAGAAGATAGAAACAAACCTGCACTGTTGAAGATATCCTTGTAAATGAAGCCAGCTTTTTGCCTTCAAGACTTGCTGCCACTGATTCACAGAGTTTCTCAGCTATCTCCTCAGCCTACAAGAAACATAGAATGAAAACAATATTATCTAGGTAAAGGACCCAAATGATTACCTACCCATTAAGATGTGACATGAGAAATGCTAGGAACACATTCTCTGACACTATTTTGAACACACCTACTCCTATTAGTTTGAAATTTATAGGAAATCACAAAATTTTGCGGGTCTCGTTCTATTTAATGAAACTCTCATGATTTTGTAGTTTTCAATAAATTTTAACTAATGGAGGAGGGAGAATGTGTTACTAGCACTATTCCTAAGGTATATACAGAGTATAAAGAAGAGAAAAATAACACTATTGAGTAAAAACACGCACCACATTCTTGGTCATGAGCCTATCCTTTAGAGCTTTCAAAGCTGGTTCTAAGTCTGACTTCTCCAAATTTGCCTTCCCTGCAATGCTGCACACAAGGATATGTGAAAACATTCTAATCAGTCATGTCAGAGAAAAGAGGAAAATAAAAATAAGATAAAAAATGTAAAAAGCTAATTATAGATTTTAATTTAGTCTGTGTCAAGAGGTGCAAAAGTTATTTGAAACCAGATAACATGAAATGCTTAAGGATAAAATTAAGAAGAATTTCTCTGAATCCTTGCCATTAAGCTTTCAAATCAAACAATGAAATGTGGATTTTTTTCCCATCATTAAGTAGCCTTTATTTAGAATATATAGTAGAATTTTAGAAGAAACATCCACATGTCATTGTTTTTTATTTAAGAACTTGATGGCAAGGATATAAGGAACTTGATCAATGTCTGGTTTTATTCTGCCTCAGTAAACATCAGTAAAGGGAAACTGGAAACAAGATAACATCCCTTGATTATTCAAAATGCTAAAAGAAAGTTTAGAAAAATAAGGCGATAGAGAAATAGAAAACGACCTCTATTTGAAAATCCGAGAGTCGCCAATGGACTCTGTCGATTGGCAGGTGATAGATCCCATTTTTCTAACCCAAAAGCATATATAATAATGGCAATTCTGACGCTTGGATCAACAATTATGGCAGTTCAAAGTTTTTGCAGACCAAAGTGATGAAAAAATTTGAAAATCAGAATTGGCTTAAATTTTGTGAGCAACACCCTGAAATGATGAAAAGACAGCACACCAAATTCTAGAGCAAAATTCAAAGGATGGCTATATGAACCACTAAAAGAATGTTTAGAAGAATAAGGCGATAGGGAAATATAAAATGGCCTCTTTTTGAAAATCCGAGCGTGGCCAATGGACTCTGTCGATTGGCAGGTGATAGATCCCATTTTCTACCCCAAAAGCTTATATAATAATGCCAGTTCTGACGCCTGGATCAATAGTTATGGCAGTTCAAAGTTTTCAAAGACCAAACTGATGAAAAAATTTGAAAATCAGAATTGGCTTAAATTTTGTGAGCAACACCTTCAAATGTTGAAAAGACAGCACACCAAATTCCACAACAAAATTCAAAGAATAGCTATATGAACAACTAAAAGGAAGTTTAGTAAAATAAGGCGATAGAGAAATAGAAAACGACCTCTTTTTGAAAATCCGAGCGTGCCAATGGACTCTGTCGATTGGCAGGTGATAGATCCCATTTTTCTACCCCAAAAGCATATAAAATAATGCCAATTCTGACACCTGGATCAACAGTTATGGCAGTTCAAAGTTTTGACAGACCAAAGTGATGAAAAAATTTGAAAATCATAATTGGCTTAAATTTTGTGAGCAACACCCTGAAATGATGAAAAGACAGCACACCAAATTCCAGAGCAAAATTCAAAGGATAGCTATATGAACCACTAAAAGAAAGTTTAGAAAAATAAGG